TAATAATAATAATAATAATACTTTGTACCTGTAATTATTGTAAAATCATTTCGGATCTAGATCTGGCGCCCTCCCCAGTGTGAACACTACACACGTACAATTTAATTTGCTTATCACGCGTTTATGTTTACACATCGTTACGAAAATGAGCGCATACAAATTAAATACGTGATAAAATGGGCCTAAATATAATATACACAAAGCATTTCGCAAAACACGTAAATGGATACACAGTCATTTACATAACATTGTACCGGTACTGAACATAAATCTACTGATATAAAAATGATGTCTTAAAAGATATTAAAAATTTTTAGACTCAGATGTTATATGTCTCAAGGATTGGGGAAGAGATCTCCAAACCAATTATGGAGTAAGCAAGGACGGGGCAGGCGATCTTGCAGCTAATTGTACCTCTTCTGGGACCTCAAGATACCGATCGCCTTAGTGATCTTCTAGACGGAACTGCTTACATCTGGATGAGTTCATTAAAATAAGAAGAGCTTTTGTTATTGACACATATGCAATTTTATATGACATTCTAGATTACACAAGAAGGCAGCGTTCTTAACATGAGAATTTAATGTGATTTCTCTTCTAGTCCAAGCCTAGCTAGCAGCATGATTTTGAAAACGTTGTAACTTGTAAAGAGTGATATTGGGTAGGTTAGCCCGTAGAGCATCGTAATATATATCCATGAGTGACTACAACAATAAAGACGATACGAGCGTTTTCAATGAGCGTTCATTCAAAAACATAGACATATGACCAATTCTATGCAATTCAAACAATAAAATGGTATGCCTAGATGAATAATTGATATGATATTCCATTAACAATTTTTAATCAAAATACACTCCCAGATTCTGATGTTTTGCCTTATCAGTAAAATACAGGGGTTGGTTTTTTATTTTTCATTTTCAGTACGAACATGATCAATGTCAGTGGCCACTGTCATTTTCAGTACAAACATGATCAATGTCAGTGGGGGTTGGCTTTCCTTTGTGTTACATAAAAGAATTTCAGTTTTATTTTAATTAGGCTGGAGAATTATTATCAATCATCCAGTTCTTGACGTCATCAATACACATACCCATGGCGGTAGACAAGGTTTTAACATCTGAGGTTTTAACTTAATATTATGATCTAAAAGGTCCCCTAAGATGTCCGAAACCACGTCATAGCCCACTTTGCGGAGCATTGGACAAACGTGAGAGAAACTTCGGACGAAGAGAGGTGACTTCAAACAATGCGTCTCGTGTATTTAGAGAAAAAAACAACTGCGACACAGCATACATATATTTGTTTGAGGTTTGAAAATGTATTTCACACTCTGGGGAAATCATAGAAAACAGTCAACCACACACACTCACACACATACACACACACACACAAACACACACACACACACACACA